AAAAAAAAAAAAAAAAAAAAAAAAAAAAAAAAAAAAAAAAAAAGTGGAGCAATGCATGGTTCTCTTGGTCCTGGGGGTCTCATGAGGCAGGACTACACGTAGCCTCTGCCAGGAGTCTTCCAGGGAGCAGGGCCACACATAGCTCTGCCAAGAGAGCACAGCAAGGTGAGTTGCTCAGGGCACGCCTTGAGCTAGGGGCTGCCGCCTGGGGAGGTGGACAACCAGAGACCAGACGCAAAATTCTGGGACTTAGCACATGCACTAAGCAACTTTATTGTCTACAGGCATGTATTATATATGTGTGAGCCAGCAGTGAGCCCCTCCCATACCTCCGCATCTCCTAGGCAACTCAATAGGAAGTCTGTGGTTTGCGGTTAAGCCTTGCGAATTCTTGCCGACCCAGTCGTTTTGCATTTCTGCTGACACAGTCTAAGTCCTGGAGAGCAAGAGTGCCTCCATCTTTAAGATGTGTTCTCCTTTATTTTCCTCCAGAGCAATGCCTTCAAAATTCTGAAGGAAAATGATTTTTAATTAACCTAGCATTGTTATGTCCAGCACTGTCAGTCAAGTATGGAGATAAAATAAAAGCAATTTTAGACCTGCAAGGCCTCGAAATATTTAGCTTTCATGAACACTTTGTTAGGAAACTACTAAAGGATGTGTTTCAATACAACCAGAGAGTAAACTGAGAGACCGACATAGAATCCAGGAAACAAGGGCTCCAACACAGAAGTGAAGGAAGTCCCAGGGTGATTATTTTGCATCAAGACTACAGAGCAAACAGTCCAGATTGGAGCAAGAGGACTAAAGACTTAGGGGGAGAGGATCGCCGAGAGGCAGGGAGACAGAACTGATCAATTACTTGATGCGTTACGATGTGGAAGAATTCTTGGTAGAAGTTTTATAGGTTTGTTAAAACACTTGAGCAGCAAACAATTTTATCTAGTTCAATTATGTGGACCCTGATCATTGATTTAACAAAAATTACTATACAAGTCTATTTGGAAGACCATTGGAGGATAGTGGGGGAGTTAGGGACTGGTGAGTAGTAACTTATAACCTTGTCTAAAACTGATTAATCAAGAACTACTACAAAAGCATATAGTTTGGAAATATACAGTTAAATGCTAGAAAAGATAGAAAGTAGAAAGTAGATGTCTCTGTGAGCAGGGATAGGGAAAAAAAAATCATTGCTTTTGCTTTTTTTGTATAGGTAATCATTTAGTACTAATTTATTGTTTTAACTACATGCATTCTGATAAAAATAAAAATTAGTTTAAAATAGATTATGTTATATTAACTATCAATTAGATTAAC